AAAAATTGTGGGGAAAGCCATGTCGATGGTCGATCGCGTGACGGAGGCGATAGTCGGGCAGCTGGTCATGGCGGCGGACGGCGCGATGCTCGGCCTCGGTATCGCCTACGCGGCGTACTGCAGTTTTCGGAAGTACTCTGCCACGTCGTCCGCCCTACGCAAAATCCGCCAGGCGCCGGCAGTGGAACCCTCCGACATCCGCTCCGTGCTCGCCGACGGCGATGGTTCCGGAGGCTATGATGAATCCGACTCTTCCGTTTCGTGTTCCGACGGTGGGAAATTGGTCATCGTCAGGGGTACGGTCGAGGTGAAATCTGCCTTGGAGAAGGGGAATTGGAAGAGTATAAGAGGCAGTAACTTGGTTGTGTCTCGGGAAACTGGCGACCAGGGCGTTCTCCTCGAGCGAGTTCACACTGTATGCTCCATTCTCCCTTTTGACCTAATCTTTTTTCACGCCTTTATATTTCCCCACCTTTTTTTTAATCGATGCCTTTACATTTCCCCACTTGTTAGAGTTGTGAGTGTGCAGATTAGAATTGAAGCTACTTCTTGTTTGATTTTCATAATTTGATGTTTTTCTGCAGATAATTTATTGTGCGCTTGGTAATAGGGAAAGAAAATTGAAGCTTCTTATTTGATCTTCAGAATTTGATGTTTTTCTGCGGATATTTTATAGTAAGCTTGTTCATAGAGAAAAAAAATTGAAATTGGAATTGCAATGTTTCAAATCAGTATGGATTTTTGGATGTTGTCGTGGGAAAACGGAGCAATCTAACCCAGAGAAAAAGTGAAAAGAACAGCTTTTCTTCAGCTATGTACGAGCCAAATGAATCAATTTTTATGTACCCAATCTACGTGGAGAACTTTCACCATCTAGATTCCATAGCTGTCTTGGTTCACTATAAAGGCCATTTACTCTGCCCTATGTGATACCATAAAACACAAATGCGGTTTCTTACACAAAATGCATAATTGTACTAAAGATAATCATACATAATGTCCATGGCTCAAACAAGAGGTTTTTCCCGACTGTAGGAAAAAGATTCAAACGTTTGCTTCCTGCATTTCTTTAAGGAAATAGGATATTTGGTTCTGCAACGTCCTGTTGAGCTTATGCATGTCACATCAGTAGAGCCAAATTCCGTGAAATGTTGGATCTTCTTGATTTTGACCTGGGGTCATGTTGGTGATTTCTGTCGCATTTCTGCTTGGACTAGTTGTTGAATTTATATGTGGTGCATAGATTGAGTTTTAGCTTACATGTTACTTTGGATTAAAGTTTGAGCCTCTAGCACTGAAGATTCTAAGAAGTTTATTGTGAAGTGTAAATTCATTGTTAATGTCCTGATGTGAAATAAGTATATATTTCTAAAAAATCCAGAGTGCAGATTAAATAAATTTAGTTCTTACAGTCTGTAGTTCTCTTCCGCTTTGTTCATGAAGCAAATTGAAGTTCTTTTATTGCTCGATTTGTTAGGTATTTAGAATCCCCTTTCTGCCAGTTCCTTGTAGCTAGTAAAAAAATTGAGATGTTCCTAACTCGAGTACAGGGCTAAGTTGATGCATCTTCATCAGTAACCTTTTGAGATGTGGTTGGTTTTTTCACTTGATAATTTTATCCCTTTGCTGTTTGTCTCTTAGTGTGTATACCATGAGTTGAGGGGCATCTTTCGGTGGCCCCATGACATACGGTCCTTGCTCTCAAATTCCTTGAAACCACGGGGGTCTTCCTCCGTAAGAATGGTAAGTTCTTATAATGTGAACAGTCATGAAAATATTCACTTTTAAGTTACTACATTGATGGAAGATACTTCTGGCTCCTAATATCATATGTTATAATGTGGCATTTTATGAATTTGAAGAAAAGTAAAAGCTAATTTCTTGTTTGAAAATGTGCAAGGAGGCACAATATTTGATGTCAGGGAAAGCAACTTATCTTGATTAAGGCGTATCATTTGACTTATCATTTGTATTTCCTTTGCCTTATCTGCACATTTGTTGCTTCATTATCATCCAATAATCATTAGTTGAAATTGTTACTTATCTTGTAGAATGCTAGGATCATCAGATGCTGTAAACATATCAGGATTCGAATTAATTAGATATAATTAATTTCATCATATTTTTTTCATAAAATATGGAGTCCTGAGGTTGGTCATGAGAATATTTTATATATTGGAACAAATTAGTGTCTTTCTGGCCAACTCCTACTGAAATCGGATTGATATTTTGAAAATATTTTCGAAAACATCCTTCATATAGAATCTGTACTTTTAATGAATTTGTTATCTCCTAGTATAAATTATTTACTGAACAGTGATCAATAATGTTATAATCTCCTCAGGTTCCATTCATTCTTGTGGAGGGAGGAAAACAACCACATCACTCTGATTATCTTGTTGTCAACATGGAAGGGTCAAAGCATCCTTTGCCACTTGTTACTGTCTTTCGGGACGTGCAGCCTCTTAGTTCTTCTACTTACACTTTTCTTCAGGCTCTTCTCGGTCTTGAGTATCCTGTTAGTTAATACTGATTACATAATCCCTCTTTGTGATAAATAACTTTTTATACTCCATTTTTATCTGTCCATGTCTAAGCTTAACTATTCTTTCAGGTTGGGCTACTTTATGAAGAGAAAATACTTTCTCTGGGGAAGGATATCACTGCTGTCGGTGTCTGCAATCTTAAAGATGGGATTCCTGAGATCAAATCGTGCGAAGATCTTCCTTATTTTCTGTATGTTAATTTCTTTTCCAGAAATTCGATAGTTAAAGTATTGAAACTGCAAGATCATCTTTGCCTGCATAACAATGGTCAACTCTTTCTGTTTAATTCTTGCGATGTTGTCTCTCTGAAACCCTCCGTCTTGTCTAGCTTGATTTTAAAACTTCAGGAATTCATTGAAGAGACTAAGGTTGTATTTGGTAACTGGTAAGCATATAAGCTAGCTTATAGCTTATTTGATTAGCTTATAAACTATGTATTCCTTGGGTAGCTTTTCAAGTAAGCCCATTGAAATTTTATTTCAGCTAGCGACCAAACACTTTTATCATATAAGCTAGCTTTTTAGCCATAAGTCATTAGCTATCAGCTATAAAAGCTCGAAATTCACTTAAAAGCTAGTTGTAAGCTAGCTTATGAGCTAGGTTTACCAAACATAGCCTGAACATTTTAAACAAAGTATCTGACTTCCGTTTTAGCTGTTGGGAGGGTGGGGATGGAGTGTTCGAATTTTTTCTTCCAACTTAGAAGGACTATGCATTTATGTCTTCTTATTTTAACACTTTGAAATTCTTGTTTTTCTCGTTCTTGTAGCTGAGAGACTTCATGGGATTTCTAACTCTAGTTGGGCTGTGTTTGTAGGTCCGATTTGAACAAAGATCAAATGGTAGCCGAACTTTCAACCAAGAGTAATGTGCTGATGTGGAGCGGACTGGTTCTCGGTTCTGTAGCTATTGGCATCTTTAGTTATTGCATTGCAAGGTACATGGCTTAATCCATTTTCTATACTCGGATTTTGTTTCTACATTTTTCTTTTTGTATCTCTATATATCTCTGCAAAAAATCGAAGCATGTTGTTTCTTGGTAGAAAGATATTGAAAAGTCGTATGAATGAACATTTAAAGATTCTTTGTCTGCAAATCTTATCAGAATCTCGCTTTATCTCTCTCACACGAACACACACACATCCATCTTTTTTGTGTGCAGAAACTGGGTGAAATGGAAAGCACGCAGGTCACGACAGGTAGACAACTCAGCGGATATCCCGTCAGATGCTGAGGTGGCAGCATTGGATGAGGAATCAGGTGAAGTTCCCGAGGGCCAGCTGTGCGTTGTCTGCCTGCTGAGAATTCGGCATTCGGCTTTCATCCCATGTGGCCACCTCGTCTGCTGCCAGCGCTGTGCATTGGTGGTCGAGCGTGAGTCCTTGCCAAAGTGTCCTGTTTGCAGGCAGCAGATAAGGAGTTCGGTAAGGATTTACGATTCTTAAAGGGCTTCGGTATATTTTTTTTAGCAGTTAGCAGCATAAAAATGGAAATTTTATTTTTTTCGAGTTTTTGCTTAGGGAGGGTTATTAGTATTACTGACATGAGGATTGAGGGTAGGGTACTTCTTCATAGTTGCTGTGTATTGGATGCTTTTGTCTACGCCGAGTGAAAACTGGTGAGGTCAGTGTATAGCTTTCAAATGGTAACCAATGGATTGGGTTTAGTTCGTGTATTTATATATTTCACCTGTATAAACATTTATTAATATATAAATGTTTTTTAATTTAAATATTAATCTCATGTGACTAAGGAGTAGACGTGTCCATTTGCCGGGCCGGGTCGAAACCCGGCCCGGCCCGCCGGGTCGGCGGTTCACCGTGGGCTGAACCGGGCCCGGCCCGCTTGTAACTAAGGGCCGGTTCAGTGAACCGGCCCTTAACCGCCGGGTCGCAAACCCGGCGGGTCGAGTCGGTTCCGGGTCGGGCCCGGCGGGTTTGCGGGTTTTTTTTTTTTTTTTTTTTTGTTATTTTAATGTATATTAATGTTTATTTGAATAAATAGTTTGTATATACTTCGAAAATATAAGTTTTTGAGTCTGTTTGTCTATATCATTTCAAAATGAAACAAAAATAATGATCGGGCGTCAATTCTTGGAACCAAACGGTTAACGGTGTTGTATTTTATTGAGTATGGCGGAGAAGTACAACTTGAGGTAGTTTAGAAATGCTAAATTGTACGTCAAATGAAGTCGAATAAGTGTAAAGAAAAAAATTATTAATGTAATGGACTTGAGCTTAGTTAACAGTTATTAAGTTCGAATATCGTGTACGATGAAAAATTTTGTTGCCAAAAAATTATACTCGAACTTAATAATGTTAAATAAGGTGCCTACGTATCCCTTTATTTGGGAATCAAAGTCCACGTAGTTCTTCTAAATCACATACCTTGGCTGCATACCTTTAATATTCGTATTCGTCTTCGACGT